TGGTGTCGTATATCAAAAAGGCATATTACTAGGTGATAGGACTCCATTTCCACCTAGGAGTATGTCTAGATAGGAAACATCCTCCTACCAATTTCTAGCACCAAATAGCAGTGCTGCAGTCTGAAGAATATATAAAGCTACTAGTAGCCTCCTCCGTGTAAAGTATGCTGCAGGTGTTCATAGACTGCAGTAGTCACCTACGATCAGGTGGGCTGTAAGTTCGTTCGTCACTACAGTTTTATAAGATAATGACTCCAGATAGATGGCGGTTTGACCATCTCGTTTCCATCCATCTATTACAGACCATAAAAGTTCACATCTGAACAAAGGCCTCCCCATACATGTCCTAGTAGGGTTGGGATTTTGGCATGGCTGCCACGCTTAGCAGGTGAGTTGGCAACCACAGTTTTTTTTTTAAGTTGTTGTCACAAAGATGATACTGCCAATCAACCTGTTTCAGTTTTCCTCTATCGCCTCTTAGGACACCCACGGGACGATTTGGAGTAGTGGCTATTCTAACCGATATTACACATATTGTTTACTCATTCGTATTTTACTCAGACCGGAGGAGGTATTAGACATCTGTTATTGTGATCTTTCATAGCCAAATAAATATAAAAGGTAAATATTCCTGCACTATACGTGTATACATTTAATGTGGGATTCTTTTCCCGCCTTCTCATATAGTAACAAAAGAAATAAGAAAGAAGACTGAATCCGTGATGCTTAAATACGGATAAAGAGGAGTCCATTACTCCGTATTCAGTCTTTTGCGTATTTTTTTTATATATAGAAGAGAGGGCAAACGAGCATGCGGCTCACCTGATGTTAAGTGACTACCGCTGCTCATGATCAACCGCAACACCAGGTGAATTGCAGGTGCGTTGCCGGCCCTTTAGAAAGGAGTAAGCTCTTTTCTTGAAGGTCCCCAGGTCGTATCGGTCCGGAAAAATCGCCGGTGGTAAACTATTCCACAGAGAGGTTGTACGCGGAAGAAAACTCCTTTTGAAACGTACAGTGGTGGACCGCCAAGCATCCAGATGGTGTCGATGGTATCGGAACTTTTACCGTGTAGTGCGTTCACGAAATTTGGCGGCTGGGATTAATCCGAACAATTCCTCAGAGCACTCTCCGTGATAGATGCGATAAAATACGCAAAGAGATGCAACATCTCTTCGCAGGGCCACTGAATCAAGCCGATCGGAAAGCACTCGGTCGTCGACGATTCGAGCCGCTCTGCGCTGGATGCAGTCAAGTGGAAGGAGCTGGTACTAGGGAGCCCCAGCCCAGAGATGGGAACAGTATTGCCATGTGCGGCCGAACCTGCGCCTTGTAAAGTTGCAGGCGGTGTGCCGGCATGAAATACTGTCCCGCTCTGCTGAGCACGCCAAGCTTTTTAGAGGCCAATTTGGCCTTCTCTTCCAAGTGACCACGAAACTGCACGTCATTCGATATGGCGACGCCGAGGATTCCGATACTGGCTGAGGCAACAAGGGGAGTGCCTTGAAACTGAGGAGATACGACAAAGGGGTTCTTTTTAGCGGTTAACGCGCAAACTTGTGTCTTCTGGGGGTTAAACTGGACTAGATTTAGTCGTCCCCAATTCGAGACTTTGTTCAGCAAAGACACGACTTCAGACACAAGTTTTTACCGGTACTCGGAGACGTTTTCTCGAGAAATATTGGCTCGGCCGGTGTAAAGAGCATCACCAGTGCTGTCATCTGCATAGCAATGAATGTTGCGGGTTTGCAACATATCATTGATATGCAGAAGAAACAGCGTTGGCGATAGCACGCAGCCTTGTGGAACACCAGCATTAATAGGCTTGCAATCGGAGCTTGCACCGTCTACAACGACCTTGATACTCCGATCTGCAAGAAAGCTGGTGATCCAATCGCACAATTTCTCGGGAAGCCCATAGGAAGGGAGCTTCGAAAGAAGCGCTTTGTGCCAAACCCTATCGAAGGCCTTCGCAATGTCCAAACTAACGGCCAATGCCTCCCCCTTGGACTCTACTGCCTCCGCCCATCTGTGAGTTAGGTAGACCAGAAGAAGATCACCAGCTGACCGACCACGGCGAAAACCGTATTGGCGGTCACTAATCAGCTGGTGACCCTCAAGGTACCTCATGAGCTGGCAGTTTACAATGGACTCCATTGTTTTGGAGAACAAGGAGGTGATGGCGATAGGCCGGTAGTTGGACGGGTCTGAGCGGTCGCCTTTTTTAGGGATCGGGTGGACGAAAGCCGTCTTCCATGATTTTGGGACTACGCCTATGGAGTAGGAGTACCGGAAAAGACGCGTTAAAACCGGTGCCAACTCTGGAGCATACATCCTCAGCACAATTGGGGGGGGATTCCGTCCGGCAAACTCGACTTGTGGATGTCCACGGAGAGGAGTGCTTTGCGAACCGAGCATTGTGTGACCTGCACTTCCGGCATGGAGCACTCACACCGCGGGATGGTCGGCGGCGTACTCCCCCGGTCATCGAGGGTCAAGTTGGACGCAAAGAAAGAGCCTAGAAGATCGGCTTTCTCCCTTGCGGTATGGGCCAGTGAGTCGTCCTCCCTGTGCAGAGATGGAAGAGACGGCTGACAGAAATTTCCCTTGACAGCCTTAGCGAGAGACCAGAATGCACGGGTTCCAGAAAGAAGGCGAACTAGTTTCTCGCCAATTCTGCCTATGTGCTCTCACCTTGCCTTGGCAATGACTCTTTTGAAGGACCTAGAGGTGGAATTATACTTCTTTTTAGAGCGCTGGTGTTTACATCGCGGGACGCTGATGCGTCATCCCAGACTTGGTAGAACTCCTGCTTATAGCATGATGCTATTTTACAGGAGCGACCAAACCATGGCTGAGATTTGCCTCCAATCGGCACCACAGAGGAAGGAATAAAAAGTTCCATACCCTGAAGTACCACATCAGCAACAGAATCCGCAAGAACGTTGGGATCGTCCGGCGAGAAGCAAACCCGGCAAAAAAGAAAAGAAAGACCGCATCCCATCCCAATCGGCTGACCTATAGTGCCAAACACGGCGGCAGCCTGCAGAATGCAACTGCGATTTCAGCGTGAGTGGCACCACACTCCGGACAAGACAATGGTCCGAGGAGCCTAAAGGGACGTCGACGGAAAGAAAAGACCTTAGGAGGTGTTAGACATCTGTTATTGTGTTCTTTCATAGCTAACTAAATATAAAAGGTAAATAATCCTGCATTATACGTGTATTCATTTAATGTAGGATTCTTTTCTCGCCTTCTCATATAGTAACAAAAGAAAGAAGAAAGAAGACTGAATCCGTGATGTTTAAATACGGATAAAGAGGAGTCCATTACTCCGTATTCCGTCTTTTGCGTAATTCAGAAATGACATTTATAGAAAAGTAGTTTAAAGTTTCAAGTGAAATAATTAGAATTGTTACTTTTTTTTAAGAATTAATTCGCGTAGTGGCGAATCCTTACATCTTGTGAATGTCATAAGAGGTGATGGAAAGAGATTAATAAAACAGGAGATGGGCAGCAACGTCTTCCTGATAACAGAATAAGTATACTGAATAATATTGAATACCGGATATTAACAGAATAATTTGGCAAACTCTGGCAATCTGTGAAGTTGTCAAATTTTCTTTTAGTTTTTAAGAGCGAGTTTTCAGTCTGTAAAACATTGCTCCTTTGAACAAAGTTTTTCTGCTCCTTGTGTACTTTTATTTCAAAAAATTTATAGAAAAATAATAAAGCTATTTTATTTTTATAAAGAGTACGATATAAAAAGAATATGTACTTCTAATATATTAGGCTATTATTTTATTAAATTAAGTAACATAAATTAGTGAAAATAATGTTTAATTTATTATATTTTATTTTAAAAACTTTATTGCGTCCCCTTAGACAAAAAAGAATACAAAGGGCGGGCTTAATGCTTAAAGGCATTCTCTATCAGTCAACCCATGGAGTGGTGAGAGTTTGTTGTAGGTGTAGCAATTAAAAGGACATAAAAAAACATAAACTAAAATTAATACACATTATATGTAGCATAACTGATTATGATACAAATTATTTTTATACATAATATAAATATTAGTACATTTACATATATTAACACATATTCATAATATAAATACATTTATATGCTAATAAATATACATACATACACGTATATGGATATAAACATGCATAAATACAAAGTTAATACATACATATAAATACGACCATTTAACAATATTGTAATTCTAATGATTCTTCAGTAAATGCTCGCTTACCATCTTTTTAAAGGAGTATTTGTTAGGTGCTTTTATGATATCATAAGGTAAGCAATTCCAGAGAAGTGCAGCCTGAACAGTGAAAGAGTTACCATAGAACCCGGTGAGATAAGTAGGCATATAAATCTTGTTATTAAAGGAAGATCGAAGAACCCTATCACGACAAGAAGAGAGATATTGAAATCGTTCTTTGAGGCAAGAAGGCGAATATGGGTCATTTAGAATTGAAAAAAGAACAACTAATATTCTGGAGTTACGCCTTTGCCTTATGGTAAGCCACTTAAGCTGAGATTTGTATTGAGAAATATGGTCGTACTTACGCAGACGAAAAATAACTCTAATAAAGTTATTAAGCAGGCGCTCCAGCTTGTGTTCTATAGTCGTCAGCATAGAGAGGTCGTCAGCCATCGGAAGCCCGCAGAGTTCTTTTTTACGGAAGCTGAAGGCGCAATCATTCAAAGACTATAAAATATCATATCAAATACAAGAATTCCAGACCAATCTCGTTCACAAGGTCTTATAAGTACAGCAAGAAAACATGGGTTTCGAGTTTCCCGTGTTGTTGGATCTCCAGCTAGGTCCTACGCCTCAGTTAAACTTTCACCTATAGTTCAAGAATATAAAATAAACTCATTTGTATTATCTCCTCTGAGAAGCACATCTGTGTTATCTGACAATACAGATATTGAAGTTCAAATATGTAAAAGTTGGAGGAAGAAGCTTGAGGAGAACTCAGGGGGTGTGATGGAGGTTTTAGAAAATAAACAATTAGACCAAGATGTAAATGGAGAGGATTATATTCATGCTGACATTTTAAGTCAGGAGAAAATATATTTCACATTCGATTTGCCAGAAACTAGTGATGCAGAATCAGTAAGCGGCATTGTTATACCGCAAAGAAAACTTATTGCACAAAAAGATAGTCAAACTGTGAAAAATTTTGAACAAATAATGGACAATAGAGAAAACCTGGCACAACTACATCGGAGCAAAATTAGCTATGATAAAACTAATAATGTTCATAAAAAAGATTCATTTAACAGGGCTGCAAAGGAACGCAGTAAAACTGTATTTCCTGCAAAAATTGCAAATCAGGGCCAGGCACGAAAACTCATTGGAAACCGAGCAGGCGCTAAACGCAAGAATATATTTACTGAATTTATTGTATCAGAAAGCGAAGATGAAATTCCTATTATTAAACCAAAATTGTTTGGATCTTCCAAAAACAATAAACACCAGCAACAAAAAAATTCAGCCCCACGTAAACTTCGAGAATTTTCTCGAAGTCCTGATATAATTGATATAAAAATAGGTGGATCGAAACTTTTTTACCATCATCTACAATGGCTTCTGTAAACAGAGGTAGATTAAACAAGCTACGGGAAGCTACACAACCTATAAAGAAATATAGTAACAATGTATTCAACAAAACAAACCAACCAACAAGGTCCCAATTTTCTAAATTCAGAAATGGCGAAGAATTAATTGAATCATCACGTCCTGAACACCATAATAGCAATTCCAAACAAAAGCACAAGGAAAAAAATTCTAACATTAATTTGACAACAAATAATGAACCTAAGAATCCAGATTATATTTGGAAAGCAACTAGCACCAGTACTAAACACAAGACAGAACAAAGTGACATTGATAAAATAGAATATAACTTAAAAAAGAACTTTTTAAATTGTAATTGAGGATTTGAAACAAGATAAAGTTTTAGAAGAAATACAAAATGTTGAAGATCATTACAATGACTTAATTTTGCAATACCCTAATACCATAATAACCCTAATTTATACGAAGCTGACCAAGAAAATGTAAATAATAAAGGTATAAACCATCCACAACGAATTAATACCAAGAAAAATACAAAATTATATAAAACTAAATACCATCTAAAAGCTTCAGATAGTTCGCAAAAACTTTCTAGTTCATTCCAATTGAAGAATATTAATGCTAAGTCAAAAGAACAAATCAGTGGTAGTAAAAACGTTTCAAAAAATATTACACCAACTAAAAATGTAATTAGTTATTCTGTCAAACGAAAAAAAATGATGATCTCCAAAATGATCTACAAAATGAAACTTGAGTATAATAATAAACAAAATACAGTTATTGATTAAAACTACTTTTACGGATTTTATCACGTTTAATTTTATTTTTATTTTTAATTCCCTACGTTTCGGGTGCTTTCCAGCACCCGTGACCATCACAGGGGACTAAGGTGACTGACGTCCCGTCATTGTATCATTGGTAAACATTGTTACTATATTTCTTAATAGGTTCTGTAGCTTCTCGTAGCTTGTTCAATCTAACTCTTTTAACTTTTACAGAAGTGCTTCCTTCAATATTACCAAGTTGGTTATCAACCATTGTAGATAAAGTTTCCATCCACCTATTTCTTTATCAATTATATCATGACTTCGAGAAAATTCTCGAAGTTTACGTGGGGCTGAATTTTTTTGTTGCTGGTGTTTATTGTTTTTCGAAGATCCAAAAAATTTTGGTTTAAATACAGGAATTTCATCTTCGCTTTCTGATACAATAAATTCAGTAAATATATTCTTGCGTTTAGCGCCTACTCGGTTTCCAACGAGTTTTCGTGCCTCGCCCTGATTTGCAATTTTTGCAGGAAATACAGGTTTACGGCATTCCTTCGCACTCCTGTTAAATGAATCCTTTTTATGAACATTAATAGTTTTATCGTAGTTAATTTTGCTCCGATATAGTTGTGCCAGGTTTTCTCTATTGTCCATTATTTGTTCAAAATTTTTCACAGTTTGACTATCTTTTTGTGCAAAAAGTTTTCTTTGCGGTATAACAATGCTGCTTACTGATTCTGCATCTTGTTGGTTGTTTTGTTTTGTTGAATGCATTGTTACTATATTTCTTTATAGGTTGTGTAGCTTCTCGTAGCTTGTTTAATCTAACTCTGTTTACAGAAGTGCTTTCTTCAATATTACCAAGTTGGTTATTAACCATTGTAGATGATGGTAAAAAAGTTTCGATCCACCTATTTCTATATCAATTATATCAGGACTTCGAGAAAATTCTCGAAGTTTACGTGGGGCTGAATTTTTTTGTTGCTGGTGTTTATTGTTTTTGGAAGATCCAAAAATTTTTGGTTTAATAATAGGAATTTCATCTTCGCTTTCTGATACAATAAATTCAGTAAATATATTCTTTCGTTTAGCGCCTGCTCAGTTTCCAATGAGTTTTCGTGCCTGGCCCTGATTTGCAATTTTTTGCAGGAAATACAGGTTTACTGCGTTCCTTTGCAGCCCTGTTAAATGAATCTTTTTTATGAACATTATTAGTTTTATCATAGCTAATTTTGCTCCGATGTAGTTGTGCCAGGTTTTCTCTATTGTCCATTATTTGTTCAAAATTTTTCACAGTTTGACTATCTTTTTGTGCAAAAAGTTTTCTTTGCGGTATAACAATGCCGCTTACTGATTCTGCATCACTAGTTTCTGGCAAATCGAATGTGAAATATATTTTCTCCTGACTTAAAATGTCAGCATGAATATAATCCTCTCCATTTACATCTTGGTTTAATTGTTTATTTTCTAAAACCTCCATCACACCCCCCTGAGTTCTCCTCAAGCTTCTCCCTCCAACTTTTACATGTTTGAACTTCAATATCTGTATTGTCAGATAACACAGATGTGCTTCTCAGAGGAGATAATACAAATGAGTTTATTTTATGTTCTTGAACTATAGGTGAAAGTTTAACTGAGGCGTAGGACCTAGCTGGAGATCCAACAACACGGGAAACTCGAAACCCATGTTTTCTTGCTGTACTTATAAGACCTTGTGAACGAGATTGGCCTGAAATTCTTGTATTTGACATGATATTTTATAGTCTTTGAATGATTGCGCCTTCAGCTTCCGTAAAAAAGAACTCTGCGGGCTTCCGATGGCTGACGACCTCTCTATGCTGATGACTATAGAACACAAGCTGGAGCGCCTGCTTAATAACTTTATTAGAGTTATTTTTCGTCTGCGTAAGTACGACCATATTTCTCAATACAAATCTCAGCTTAAGTGGCTTACCATAAGGCAAAGGCGTAACACCAGAATATTAGTTGTTCTTTTTTTCAATTTTAAATGACCCATATTCGCCTTCTTACCTCAAAGAACGATTTCAATATATCTCTTCCTGTCGTGATAGGGTTCTTTGATCTTCCTTTAATAACAAGATTTATATTCCTACTCATCTCAACGGGTTCTATGGTAACCCTTTCACTTTTCAGGCTGCACTTCTCTGGAATTCATTACCTGATGATATCAGAAAAGCACCTAACAAATACTCCTTTAAAAAGATGGTAAGCGAGCATTTACTGAAGAATCATTAGAATTACAATATTGTTAAATGGTCGTATTTATATGTATGTATTAACTTTGTATTTATGCATGTTTATATCCATACACATGTATGTATGAATGTTTATTAGCATATAAATGTATTTATATTATGAATATGTGTTAATATATGTAAATGTACGAATATTTATATTATATATAAAAATAATGTGTATCATAATCAGTTATGCTACATATAATGTGTATTAATTTTAGTTTATGTTTTTTTTATGTACTTTTAATTGCTACACCTACAACAAACTCTCACCACTCCATGGGTTGACTGGTAGAGAATGCTTTTAAGCATTAAGCCCGCCCCTTGTATCCTTTTTTTGTCTAAGGGGACGCAATAAAGTTTTTAAAATAAAATATAATAAATTAAACATTATTTTCACTAATTTATGTTACTTAATTTAATAAAATAATAGCCTAATATATTAGAAGTACATATTCTTTTTATATCGTACTCTTTATAAAAATAAAATAGCTTTATTATTTTTCTATAAATTTTTTGAAATAAAAGTACACAAAGAGCAGAAAAACTTTGTTGAAAGGAGCAATGTTTTACAGACTGAAAACTCGCTCTTAAAAACTAAAAGAAAATTTGACAGCTTCACGGATTGCCAGAGTTTGCAATTATTCTGTTAATATCCGGTATTCTATTATTCAGTATACAGTTATTCTGTTATCAGGAAGATGTTGCTGCCCATCTCCTGTTTTATTAATCTCTTTCCTTCTATCACCTCTTATGACATTCACAAGATGTAAGGATTCGCCACTACGCGAATAGTTTTTAAAAAATAGTAACAATTCTAATTATTTCACTTGAAATTTTTCATTCATCCCTGAATTTTTTCTTTTGATTACGCAAAAGACGGAAGTACGATGCAATCCGTAAAAGTAGTTTTAATCAATGTGTAGTGTTCGCGTAAATATAAGAAATCATTAAAATACGGTTAGTGTAATATAAGAAATGAAAATCAAATTATTACTTTACCACTAACAGTTGAAGACATAAAAAAAAAGAATCAGCCACCTATGAACTGGATAACAATCAAAAAACTTTTACTAACTCCGAGGAGATAATAGTGGAAAAAGGTAAAATAGATTTGTTAGGAAGTTCTTGGTACAGGTCGGAGTAGCACACATCTGCATAATCAAAGATAAGTAAAATAAGAGTTTGGACAAGCATGAGCTTATACTTAATAGGAAGGAAGTATTTGAGACGACGGAATGTAAGGTGGCAATGACTTTCCTACTTAAATCGATAACCTGCACTTTCCAGTTCAGAGAGCTATCAATATACAGGCCTAGGCTTTTAACAGACAAACTAAATGGAAAAATAATATTATAATCATAGCAAATAGGAGGTACTCAGGTGTATTCAGAAAAAATGTCTTCAAGAGCCGTCTCTAGAGTGGAGAAAAAATCAGAGGAGAGTGGGCAATACACAACTTCTAGAAGCATCCTTGTGCCTTGTGACATCAAGTTCCAAAAACACAAACTCTGCTGACGCTGTGTAGCAAGATGGAGTGACTAACACTATTTTACACGGAACCGAAGCAAGCAAATAGATAGCCACCCCACCTTGCGATCATTTCTTACGAGCACATAACCTGGTAAGGGATATATATATAGTTGAATGCAAAGATGGCTTTAGTCAGGTCTCCGACACAAGAATTGCATGAACGTAAGTAGATGAGAAAGACAATTCGAGTTCAGAGTAGTGGCAAGGAATGCTTTGAGTAATAATGAAATATGTTAAAAAAATTATCACAAATTGAAAATACCCCTTTCAGTAGATCATGTAGATTACACACACTATTACTAAAAGAATCATTACAAGAATTAAAAGACAGAAATTAATCATCCGCAGAATAAAAAAAAACAAAAAAATTCTACATCAGACATAAAAATGGCAAATTTTTACCAAAATTATAAATAAATACAAATAAAATATCTAGAAAATATTTATAAAATAATAATATAGTAGTAAAATAACCTTATATGCAAAACAAATATGTAAAATTTATCAATCTTATATGCAAACAACACCATTCCATTAGTGAGCTTTTTACAAAACATTAAAACCTTCAATAAACTTTTAATTAAAATTTAAAAGTTAACAATATATGAATAAAAAGAGAAAACTATTGGAATAAAAATTAACAAAGGGCAAATACAAGATCAAAGCAGTCGACTACAAACATATTATTAAAAATAAAAACAAATATTTTAAGCTGTAAATATAATGAGCTAAAATCGATGTATGTCATATTATACTAGGCTGTATGATGATTGAACCATTGTATAGTTTCTGTTATTTGAAAAATAAAGTTATCAAAATAGAAAACATAACAACGACCCACAATGATCGAAGAACTTATTGGACAAAATTACTTATCTCACACCGATTATTACTACAATGTTTATGCATATTATCTAATGAACTTCTTAATAAGAAGTACTTAATTACAGCATTTACACAATACAAAAGTATAAAATATAACGTTAACTACAGTACACAATATTAATAGATTCGATCAACAATACCAACTAGATGTCAGGTTGCCGCAAGAAATCTAAGTAAATAACAGCGCACATGAGACGTGAGCTCTTGTTTCGTTTAGTTTACTTGAAACACAGCCAATTTAAACACGTTTCACAATGCCGCAATGTGTATTTAAAAGTTGCAAGAATAATGCCAGAAAAAGTAATTTAACGCCCAGAGTGTCTTACTTTCGGTAATTACATGTAAAATATGTTAATAAGCTCTAAACTAACAAATAATATCATATTTTAAACAAAATTACCGATCAAAACCTAGCTACAAATGTTTGCCAATGTTGACCAATACACGTGCAAACATTTGTGAAATAGAACATGGACGCATGAAGTAGATTTGTATTGTAACAATTTTTAATAATTCGTTACCAAAACTTTAAATAATGGTAATTGGTACTTTTATCTTTGTTTGTGTAATTCCAATAGATACTTAGATTTTTTTGTAGCTCTCCTAGCTTTCTTCCCCGGTCGAGCCGACCCATTAGTGCTACAAATATACTACTAATATAATTGCAGCATGGCTCTACCACATTTTAAAATTATGCAATTGGCGATCTTATTGCTGACAGCAATTTCTTCCACACTACCAATAAATGGACAGGATTACATGAAGATGACAGGAATAGGGCAAATCAGTGTGATAAAAAAGAATACACATACATATTTATATATATATACTATACATAGATACATACATACTACGAACATATATACATACAAAACTGAAATATATATATATATATATATATATATATATATTTGAATTTAGTTAATTAAATACAATCAATATACTACATACTATATTATATTTAATAACTAGTGTGGAAAGTATGTATACCAACAATCACAAATGCTCAAATTATTTTAATTAAACTTAATATGATCATATTATAAATAATTTTAGTGTTCAATGTGACTCAATACTTCCTGGACCTAATTCGAAGAAGAAAACAGAAACATAACAAAATGACGTAGCTCGCAAGGCAATAACGGGAAAAAGAACTTTATTTGTTACACATTAAGGTTGATTTCCACCAAAGTTTATTTAATTTATGTCTTTTCATTTCCAAGTGATAGGAGTATTGTATAGCTTTGTTCTTTTTTGTGACTAATGATCATAAGATTTGTGACTTTATTACTTGATAAGATGGTTGTAATTAGGTTGAGCTTAAAACTATTTTATTTTTTTGTCTCATTTCTTTAGTAAACAAATGTAGCTGTTTAAGTTTATATTCACGCGGACAGTATTTAGCCATGATTTTGTATGTGACCTGTTATTTAGTTGGTATTGTTGATCGAAGAGTATACAATATTAATGCCTGTAAATTGATATTATAACCAAATTTATGTACACAAGAACATGAAATCTATGCACTCAAGCAAAATTATTTTATTTAATAATAATAAACTAATCTATACTAGGTCTCTGTCCTAGTTAAAAGGTATAACCATAGATTGCTATGTTTATTTAAACAAAAACAGAAATTAATATTAAATTTAAATTGGAAAAGATTATACAAATTTAAGAAAAACAAGGTTAAAATAAACCACACTACCTAATGGAAACATTTTGGCCCATTGGGTTATTTCTTTACAATACAGCGACGAAACCTCTTAGAATCAACATTTCGCGCTGATGCGCCTACCTGCTT